AAGTCCGGTGATTTTTTGGGATTTTTGGGTTCCTAATAAATTTACTAATGGCTCTATATTTATATTTATGTTTTCCGCAGTGGCATTAAGAAAATAACACAATATCAATTGCAGTTTTAGATACAATAAAATACGTTGTAGTCGATGGTAACGACACGCTATATATCACGATCGTTATACACGTTCACTACACAAACTAAACACCATATAAACGGTGTCGTCAGTGCAGATGACATCGAAATTACTGAAGATACATGTTCGATCATCAGAGTTTAGAACACAAGACAAACGTCAAGAAAATAAGAGAGACACGCAACTCCATTGTAAACGTCGGAGCTATTACGAGAAGCAACACCGATAGTGGGGGTGAATTGAAGAGAGGCAATTGCCAATATTCCTATGTGTATTTATTTACTTTCTCTAATAACGCGTGAGTTGTGGGAGGCGACAGTGACGGTTCCGACGCTGCGCATGTCAACTGCAATTGTTGTTATATAAATGCACCACGAACGATTGTCAAGAAAATTAAAATTGGCATTACGTAACCGGATCAATTCATTACGAGTGAAAGCACAAATATTGTGCAAATAAATTAATTAAACAACGAAATGGGAATTTCAAAACAATGCATTTATAAAAGGGTGATAATTTCGCCATCATCCGTTTAGAGGTAGGTTACGGATATTTAAATCCGTTGACTGACTGCATTGCGGGATCGCAGTGTGAGACGACCCCACACTAGATGGAGTGACGACCTGTGCAAGTGTGCGGGAAGTCGATGGATGCAAGTGGCTCAGGATCGTACTTCGTGGCAGTCTATGGGGGAGGCCTATGTTCAGCAGTGGACTCAAAAAGGCTGAAAATGATGATGATGATGATGACTAACTTTTGAATCTAAGCCTAGTTTAAAACATTTTCTAATAAATTTTCTAATTCGGTATGTACAAGAATTGAAATGTGGTCTTTACACACCGAAGTAGTAAGGAAACGGCGAGACCAACTCTGCGACTCTAGTAGTATAAATTATAATAACCCGTTTTTTTAAAGTTACTCTTAATGACAGTATAAACTTCAAGTCATTTACAAGAATCACATCAAAAGTATGAGATATTTCATCTGGTATAATTTGCTTTTTAATGACATTGTCACCAAATGTAGATTGAAAATATTTATATAAAATATTTTATATAACTTAATTTAATTTCGCAAGAGAAGAAAAATAATAACAATAAATCATGGCATAGTGATAAAAGAAATTTAAAAAAAATAACTTAAAGCAAAAAAAAAATTATTACATCAATGATCCAGTACTTGGAGACACAGTTGTAAAGAGGCGAATAGTCATAATGCTTTTGGACGGGAAAGAATTATAGCCTGGGATGGGAAGACAATGAGCTCCGCTTAAAAAGATGAAAAGGACAAAACATCAACGTCACAATGGACTGATGCCTCCAGACTAATCTGGATCGCGACACACAATGCCGCGAGCTGATTCACGAAAGATGTTACCAACTTTCACTTGGCCCTCCGGACCGTAACCATTAGGGCCATTTCTCTTTTTGACTTGTGGCAAATTGTGGGCCGCTAATGCCACACGAAGTGAAACATTTAGGTTTTCACCTATTTAGTGTCACTATTTTAAGGCAGGTTCGAAGGGGACAAAGGTCTTTCTCTGCGCCAATACATGAGAAATAGACAATAAAACGCAGTATATATTGTTCCGATATCAGTATACGTACATTTTGTCGCGATAAAACTGATCGATTTTTTGACCATTACGATTAAAATAAGATGTAATATTACTCCAGATATGATATAATATAACAAACAAAGTTAAAGTCTCTAGACACTTAGACACACATTGTAGAGTCATAGAGGTCTGTCTTTCTGTACCCGTTTTAAATAATGCGTTTTTTACGTATTCCCAGATGCTAGTACTAAGAAGTACGGTTGGACTTTGAATCACATGCTTTATACCCGCAAACTCACTCATCAAAATAGTCTGAATCGTAATTCTAGATAATATCCGTCAATTCGAGATAGAATTGACGGATATTAAGGATCGAAAGGGTAGCTAAAAGAAATAAGTAAAGAGTTAATTTGGAATTATCGTTTACAAATAATTAAATTTGTAAAGAATTCTAGCAATGAGAATCCTACTCGCAATAGCCCTGTTCTTTATCAATGATCCACGATAGTGTATTTCTAACTTAATCAACTTCCGTTTGCCATTCGCATTTAATATAAAAATGGTAAAGGCTGGCACTACCGTACACAATACGGATCATCCGTACACAAATCATAAATTCTAATATTATCTAACAATTAATTGAATATAAATGTTGGCGCAAAAGTGAAAATCGAACCTCGAAACCGATGGCGAATGATTGATACTGGGTGATGCACGTAATAAATTTTAATATCATAAAGCGGGCTCGATCCCCTCAGTCAACAGGGAGCGTGTCAGATATAGATAGTTTTCGTGTTATTTACGCGAGAGGTACAATAATCAACGAGCGTTTGACATTGGAGACCTCTCACCTCAAACCGGTGCACTTACAGTACAAATGGATGAACATTAAAGGGAAAACACTTTAAAACAATAAAAGTAAAAAATATATCTAAATGATAAATGGTAGGACCACGCAACAGTGAACCGCAAGTTCGTTTGCCACTTTGTCACATAAAAAAAGGAAGACATACTTAAGGTTACGCACAAAAGTGAGTCTTGAAATAGGAAAAAGATTTTCATAATGCCCTCACATTTTAATAAACTCCGTTTTAATCAAATATAAGAAAAAAAAATATCATGTCGCCTCGAAACTTATGGACATTATGTTTATACTCGAGAAAGGGCAAAAGAAAAAGAGTTCAAAAAGTTTGTCTTGGTTCGTTGTGAGTTTAGACAATATTAACTAGAAAAAAATAATCACGTGCTATTTGAGTCATCATAACATATAAAACCATAAACTTTTATATAAAATTTTAATTGTGGAGATGTGGTGAGTGAACGGACACAAATTATTTTACTTGATATTATATCTTTGAGAATATATGCTACATCTTTTATTATATTAAAGGTCGGTGAAATATAAATACATTAAAATAAAGTACCAAAATTTTAGTTAAAGTTTCCAAGAAACTTATTTTAATTAATGATTTCTTAAATTTGAAAATACAATCGTGTATCTTATACTTTACTATAGACAAGCTAACATGCAATGGAGCTCTTACACACTTTCAAAACGATAAAAACGATCTACTGTACTGTTGTAATATTATGCTGGCGCCTGTATTGACAGGCGCCAGCATAATATTCGCAGTGTAGTATCAGAAACAATAAAACAAGCCGTTAAACGTCTGATCATACACGTTCTCCAGTAGATAGCTAATGAAAGTAGCTCGTGATGAACGGCTAAGGATAAAACAAAACTATTACAGAAACTATGATTACCATTTTGTTACTTTTAGACATTTAGTTAAATCGATTTAGTTTAATACCAGGAGCTTTATTATAATAGACGCGTACTTATGAACCTAGATGGGAAGAGATTACTGTATTCAATTTAGCACAATCCAGTAACACCTCTGCTTCTCAGATTCACACACAAGCATCTGCAAGTGTTTGTAGTTTACGAATATTATTAGATGCAAATTAGAAATAAATGTGCTAATGTTATGAGACGCCGAGTTGAAGAAAGTGCTTCAGACGTTAAACCGCAGTCCACATTTCGTATTTAAACGGTGAATGCGTTAATTGCGCAACAGTCGGTGCTGAATTGTAAAACAAAAAAGCGTTTGTGGCAGAACACTTCACACCAATACCTGTCGAAGTCTGATAGAGATCCGGCGCGGAAGCTCTTTGTGTTTATAAAATAAAACACAAACTTATGTAAGTAAATGCGGCGGTTGGAATTAAGGCCGATTAACTGACCTCGGAATCTGTTAAATGCGAGTGCGATAAATGAGTAGTGAGATAATTTACGTAACCGAATTTAATCGGGTGTTATTAGATAAGGCCATCTTATAGGCTCGCAAGTAAATGTACAACATTACTGATGTAACAAACTCACAAACAAAAATGGGTATATTTTATAACGGAATAAAAGAAACCGTTACCACGTAACGCAAGCTCGTCTTTCTCATGCGACTTCCGACTACAATTTGAGTGTCTTCAGGTACGACGTGACGAATAGGCTGATTCTACTGAATGCGTTTACCACCAACAAATTTATCAATATCTTAGATGACTCCGTGGCCCAGTTGCCAAGGTAATTGCTTCAACGCCCCACAGATGACCGTTTCGGATCTGGGTGTTTGTCCGCATGTGTTTGTAAGACCATACAACACAGGTTATTGTTATCCTACAGTATGTGCATTGTTTTGATTAAAAACAAGAAAATATAACGTATAATAAGAATAGTTGAGATGATACTTAATATCTAATAGGCCATTTAGGTTTCGGAACGAAACGCAAATTGGTAAGACCCGTAGTATCGGTAATTGCGGTGCGTTAGGCGCGTGGCCGGCTACTATCCTTCCTAGCGCGTTATCTGTTCATTTGTATCGGGTTACAATTACTCCACGCTTCCCGGTATCGGACGCGTCGCTCAGGGACTTCCGCGTGGCTGTGGCGCCGGCGTACGCGTCCCCAACGTACCGTGGACACGTGCACTTTCATTTTACACCAGCCAACAAGTTTTAAAAGGGCGAGAGTGAGCACAGAAGCAAATTAAAACGGACCTGTTTAGAAAACGTTCACGCCAGTGTCTTGGAACAATGCCGGCATATAATTATGTAAGGTAATGTAATACCTTGCATAGACGACGAGTCGAGGAATTTTCCCTTACGGTACGACGAACACACGATCGCTTCAAGTCGCATTTCTCAAAATTAAAACGTGTGCGTGAATATTAATTGCATCGTACGTACTGTGACAAAAAGTTCGGGTAAAACAAAACCTCACCGTAGACACGCACAACGTGAAACCGACTGTTTAGATGACGCAGACGACGAACGTTACGAAACGTCAAACGAAGGCACAGTACACAATGGCCGCCCGTAAATTCATTCTCTTGATAGACGAGCGCATCAGCCGCTGTTGCAAGCCCGCCCACACCAATCGCCCACTGCAGCCACGTTTCAGTTGCACAAGAGCAAAGCGCGAAGCTGAGCATCCTTGTAGTGGATATTTCGGGCTCGCACCTGAACCCTCGCATCCTGTTACAGAATTAGACGGCAGGTCGACGTCTTAGCGAGGTGCCGATCGGAAATGGGCTTTCCAGGAACTCGTAGCGAAGGTGCTCTGGTCGATACGATAATGGCGTTTCAAACTGCTTCGAAATAATGGACTTTATGGAAGTTAATGTTTAATCTAGGATAAGCACTTTTACTTTTGTAAGGTAAATTTTAATTATTGCGGTGATTGTGCTGAAAATCTATCAATTTAATTACAAAGAACAAGTGCATATACGATAATTAATTACTCTGGGACGGTTTTCAATAAAATGATTTTGAAATGTCCGTCTAAAATACGCTCATAAATTATTCAATTATTATATACATAATGTAAATAAATGTAATGACGAAAACGGCTTCTGCTCATGCCGGACTAGGCAGGCTCGTCCAGGGACGTACTACGGCCTCTCAGAAAACGGGCACGAAGTGTAAGTACAATACTTTCGCGTTTCGTCTGTTGAGTACTTTTTAAAGGTTGGCAAAGAATCTACCGGCATTGGGTGTAGCAAATGTTCATGGGCGACGGTAATGCCGTAACATCATGTGAGACGCCTGCACGCTTCCCAACTTATTCCATTAAAAAAAATTAGTTTAAGTAAGCTAAAAATACGTTTTCAGTTAAGTAAATCATTGCGGAGATGAAACAATTCTTAACACATAAATAATAATCTCTGTTAGTTAACGAGAGTCTAATATTATCCTTTTATCTAAAAGAGAATCAAATATATGAATTTTCTTTGGTCTTTGGTAAGCGGAACTTTTTGCTTACCAAATTTACATAGTTATGTACCAAATGATGAGACGTGAATAGTGCAAAATTATGTACTATCCTATTTACAGAAATTTGTAATATACAATTATTACAATGTTTCCAAAGAGGAGTTGGAAAACGACAAAAGGTTGCAATCAAAGTGAAAACAATAGACTTGGCGTAAGCTGACGAAGGTATTGTTAAAGCGAAACGTCTTTGTTAATTTATTACGTGAGAAATGTTGTCTCGTAATGGCGTAACTACTGTGCATAAGACATTATAATACTAACGAAAGTAATAATAGAGAAATAAAAGTGGATAGACTCTTATTACATATAAATAAAATTATAGAGGTCTCTGCCTAGGTGTGATAGAGGTCTGTGCGCGCATCGCGCAATATCTACTGGATAGATTTCAATAAATTTCTTATAAGTTTTTTTGTTAGACATGTGGCCATTATCTAAAAAATATTGTGATATCCTAATTGAATGTAAAGTTATTTAAGTTTAAAAAAACAACTATTTTTATAACAGTATTTCAGGGATTTGCATTTTTCTGCAATGGAGAAGAAGAAGAAGCGATTATCAGTTAAGTTATTAACCAAGTGATAATAAATCATAAAGTAGTTAATAACTTGCATAGTGTTTTCTACGACTAAAATACTTTAATTTAACACTGCTTTCTCATAAAGACTTTTTTCTCGTTTTATCTAAATGTAAAATCAAAGTTAATTTTTAAAGGAGGGATTATAATTAACTAGGATATAACACAGTGTCGATGTAAACGCTCAAATCGATGAAATATGAAATATCGCCCGCAGAAATGAACAGCACCGACTAACATAACAGGACATTGTCAAGTTGCACAAACAACAGATCTTACAACTGAGATTTTCGCACAGATAAATCCGTAGACCTTTGACTGCCGTGGGCGAACCGCCTCCTTGCGACGGCCGCCTTTCACACATACTTGTAACGATCGCGGCGCGTTCGAAATATCCGAAAGGTGCATTCGAACGCAGCCGATCGATTCGGTGTCACGGGGTGACAGGACAGGAACGGGGATATCCACGGTGTTTAACATAATGGTATACGCCGTAAAAAGGAACAGAAATACATAAGATTACATTGGAGTCAATGTATTCCGAAACCAAGTGGGGGCGCTCTTATTTATTTCTATATCATTGTCATCAATAATATAATTTCAGACAGTTTGAGTCCATTGCTGAACATTGGCAACACACCTCTACGAAGCACGATCCTGAGCCACCTGCATCCATCGACTTCCCGAACATTTGCACAGATTTTCATTCATTCTCACCAGAAATGTAGGACGATCCCCCAACGTGAATAATTAAAAGAGTTACATTAAATTTATTAAGTAAAACACTAGAATTCGTAAATTAACTTCATATAAAAACATTTGTTAATTATTTATTTCATCAAAAAATAAATGCTCTTTATTACGTATGACAGGAAAACCCATTTTCGGTATGTGGAGGCGAATAAATACCCTTACACTACGTGAAAGCAAGCCGCATAAATATAAGTAAATTAGTTTCCATTCCGTTTTACGTCATTTCTTATTAATAGGCGTCAATGGCGGTAGCTGCACCTTGGGGTACATTAGTCAAAGTCACCTTAGCGGAACCTATTCCGCACTTTACAATGGATGTACCTAATATATTTCAATCCGAAACGTACTGTTAAATGCCAGATATGAAATTGAACTTGATTTAGACTTGGAAGGAAAGGGAGAAATCAAAATTTAGCAAGTTTTTAGGTTACATTAAAGTTATGCGTAAGACACCTCAAAAATTTAACTTGATCATTCGTGAATTTGAGATTTGAAGGTTCAAGTTCAGAAGCGCGACGTACCAAGTGAAAGTGAGTCTTGTAAAAGTAACGAGAAATCTGGAAAATACTATCCTCACATCCAAGTAGGATTCTGACTCTTCGTGTTCCCGCGATGGTTGGACGAATTTATAAACATACTAGCTGACCCGGCAAACGTTTTTTTGCCATATAAATTATTTGTAGGGTAGAAAAAAATGTTTGGGGTGGACCACCCTTAACATTTAGGGGGATGTTGTCCGATTCTCCACCATGGCCAATATGCACACAAAATTTCACGAAAATTGGTCGAGCCGTTTCGGAGTTCAATTACAAACACCGTGACACGCTAATTTTGTAAATTATATTTATACAATTTTGGTTAAAAACACCATGACATAAAAATTTTATAGATTAGATTTATGCAATTTTGATAAAATTATTACAAAAGAAAATTTAATAATTTTATCATAATTAAGCCATTAAAATAATACTTTCGTATATCTACGCCAATATGACACATATTAATGAAACAAAAAAAAAGGGTCAGAGTTTTTTAAAGTCCTGAGCTGGATAAAAATATGCAAAAACTTTTCTCGAGAGCAATGGAAATATTGTTTTTCGATAAATACCAAGCAGTTTAGCTATCTGCACATTGGATAAGCTACATAAACCATTTGACCTGAATCAGCAAGCAACCTTGCCACGCACCGCTGTGCACTCGTCCGCCACTCCACCTGGTATCGACCCCTCAAGCACATGTCACGCAATGTGGTACTCATTACGACAGGCATAACAATAAAATGTTTTCTATGACGACACGCTTCACAGAAACGGATCAGTATTTACAAAAAAGGAACCTTACTGTGTTATAGGTGTAACATTATTGTCTATGATTATTACTATATATTGGGTCGTTCATAGATATTACTTCCTTCTTATTCTTGTCAACGCCCAACGTGCATATCATGTAAGTGATCAAATAAAGTTTATACAACTAAACAAGTCTTCTTTACTCATTTACAATAAAACAATAGGCACCCGTAACAGCTTCTGTTTTGCACGAATATACAGGATCATCCTGGGAAGTACCACAGCGTCACAGAAGACCAACGTGCATTGGAAGTATTATACTTTCGCGTTTTCTGTGAAAAGTGAGGTAACCGGGACCCTCTTTGTAAAGTCAACGCATCTGCAAACCGTTAAGTGTGGTAGATGCCCATGGGCGGCGGTTATCACTTAACATCAGGTGAATCGCCCGCTCGCTTGACAACTTTTCACTTAAAAAAATCTTACTTAACGACAACCTCTTTTGCAAGGGCTAGTTTTGGCGATGTTATTTCGTTACATAAAACACTTTACGTAATAAATGCTATGTTTCACATTGTACAATGTAAATTATATTATTGTATAAATCCGTTGTTGACACCCGAGACATTCAGACGCTATAAAATTCAGTGTCAACGCTGTTGCTGATTTCAATAGGTATTCAATTCCGATACTAAACAGGATAACGTTCATTTTATTTAAGTTGTACGGAACCGGTGAGAAAGTTTCAAGCGGAAACCGGCTTAAGTCGTTATAAAAAAAATAAAGGACAACACTAACTTTTTGAATTGACTCATTGCACGAAATTGGCTTCGATTTAATATGAGTTACACTGAGTAACACAACATACTCCATACCTTTTAAAAGAAAACCTATATTTAGAGAGCAGAAATAGTAGGAGTTAGTTATAACTAATCAACTCTTCTATAAACACGATAATAACTCAATAAAAAAATATTTTGGGAAAAAGTGTATTACTCTTTTTGTTCTAAAGACAGTATTGAATTTCAGGTTATTTTGTATACATCTCGTTCGCATTGGAAAACAACGCAATAATGAATATCAAACAAACCTCTTATCGATTGTGGCCGGCCCTTATTTCGTAACGGACGATGTAGATCTAAATACATACCTGCAACAAAGAACAATAATTTCAACAATTCCACCGATAGTATCTTCCATTTAGTCGCTTGCGTATAACAGTCAAGCCAAGCTTTGTTAGTACAGAATATAGAACGGAAGCTCAGATTGTACGCAATTCATGATAGAATAACATTTACAGAATGGTCAATTTACGTAAAAATCATTGTGACAAAACGTTGTTACAGATAGAAGTTAGTTGCAATAACAAAATGTAAATAAAATACTAAAATAAGAAATTTTATTACCATAAAGTTAAAAGATACAACTGTCAAAGAGCCACTTTTATGAATCTTGCAAGAATGGTTTGGATCGTCTGGATGAGTACCATCCTCATACAACGATGGTAGTTTGCTAAGCTATTTTTTTCATCCCCGCGGTTTCTTATTTGCGTATTGATGACAAATTAAATCTTTCTGGCCCAGAATTTAGCCACTTCGACTGCACAATTCTTGGCATCCAT